GTTGTAAAAAGGGGGCACTTGCTCATTGTTGGGAGAGGGGGTGGGAGTCGTATTTTCTTTTTGTTCACTTTCTGGCCTTTTGCGAGAGGTGGTTGACTTTTCGTGATTTTCCTGTCCCCCCCCCTTCCGAGCCCGCTCGACAGCTCGATGAGGAGGGCGGGAGTCGTACGGACTCGACCAAAATCCTCAACCAATGATGTGCCCTGGATGGCTTTGAAACGCACGTGATCCAGAGGGTATTTCATACTGCATGTTGCTGAACAATTTTGTTTGTTGAAAATTCAAGTGAGCTTTCGCCTTGCTCCGCTGATAAGTGAGAGAAATTGCCTAGAGCACCCAAATTGAGACCCATGTCTTGCATTCTGCTCTAGCACTGTGCGACTTTACAATAAAAGGGCATTCAGACGAGGGATCAAATGATGAAGACACGAAAGAGGAGGGGATGCTAGAGACTTTAGACGCAAAACAGCTTCCTCATCTTAATTTTTGGAAGGAGACATTTGCGAGGTGTGGAATCATTTAAGCAGCATGGTAGGAATCCTCCCATAACACTGAGCGATCCTACGGATTAATCGTATGCACTTCAGGTGCCATATCAGTGTTATGAATAGTTTTCTTTCGTGAAGCTAATTGCGACCTTCAGAGTCACGCTTTTCAAGTTTTTTTTTCCTGTTCAAATCTTCTCTCTGTTTTTTTTGTCTCTGTCTTTCTTTCATTTTGCGCAATTTTTTCTCTGTCTCTTCTGTTTTTTTTTTTGCTGTTTTCTAGAAATCAGGTACCGACTCACCCAGGCGGTCAGCGGATCTGTCACAATAACGGACACGGAAGTGAAGCTGGTCAAGGTACTTATAAAGAGACCCATTTGAGAAAGCGGTGCCCACCGCACACACAGTATACCAATCGCTGCAAAGTCGGCGGAATACGCCAAACCCTGAAATCGAATTCCAAATAAAGAACATAGCTCCGCTTTCCACATATGTTTCAAGAGGTGATATTTGCACAGTTCCCAGCTATATGTTCTAGAAAGTGTAGTTTTTATTCTGATAGAAACCTTCTTTTTTCTGATGACATTTTTTATGACTCCTTAAAAGTGTAAAAGCATGCGGAGCACAATTCAGGCAACTCACGAGAAAGTGGCGCCGCTCAAGAAAAACATGTTTTGTGCGTCATCTATCGGATCCCTCTAATTTCAGTATACCAGTCAGATCGCCCGGCTTCGCCGGGCGATTTTCCTTCCGCAGGTGAAGAGGGTATTGCCCCTGACTTCTCCCCGTGTCCAGTAATCGTCAAAAAACATTTTTTAAAAATTACCGAACTTTACCGTTACATTCGTTGTATATACTCCACCTAGAAGACAGTTGTCGAAGTTTTCTACAGGATACCCTCATTAGTGTTGAGGATTTGCAGAATGAACTATCGCAGAGGGCCCTAACCGTTTGGTACGCAATGTACTGCTTACGAACGTCTCTCTCAATTCATCTATCCACCCGTTGCTCAGTTTCACTCA